TGCCCCGCCGCCCCTCCCCAGGATCTCTATGCAAAGTCGGGTGGTTGTGCCGGGCCGTCCCGCCTGAGAGAATTGCACATCTGAACTGGGACTTTTAACTTAAAAACACTGATGCCAATACAGCGTGGGGTGCCAGGAACGTCTGCTGATGATGATTCGTGAAATAATTTTCTATTTTGTTTACCTGCTGTATCGGATGGGAGTTTGCAGGAGAGTGGTAGCGTGGCTCTGGTTTTTTTGGTTGTTGTTTTTTTAATATTTTGGTTTTGTTTGTGTTGTTTGTGTTGGTTTTTTTTTAAAAAATCAGCTGTGAAAATGTTACAAATCTGCACAATTTTTGAAGTGTGCGTGTGTGTGTGGTTTCATTTTGACTTTAATGCCTCTCTGGCGGGTGGGAGTGGCAGTGTTTTTGTTCCGAGGGTTTTCCTTCTTAGGTTGGCAATAACTGATTTTGATGACTAGCTCTCTAAAGTGCAGAGACTTCCTACATGTGATGCAGGGCCAACAGCAGCCCTGTGTCTATAGAGTGCCTTCAAAACTCAGCTGTTCCAGCCGGTGCCAACCTGTGAGAGCTCCACAGAATCCCATTATCTACTACTCCAAAAACTACTTAACAGTTTCCTTGCAGTAATCACACCGAGCAAGCCAGGACAAAAGGGCCTATTGTTAGTGGAATTTATTTCTTATTTCCATCTGAGCCTTTTAACTGCAGTTTCCATGTCCTGCGAGTTGGGGCTTCATTTACTTCAAATTGACAAGAATTCAGCCTCTTGGGATTTTGAGGGGGGTGGGCTTTTCTTTTTGTCCTCTCGTTTGGCTTTTGTTTTCCCTTTTGGTTTCGTTGTCGGATGTACCTCCAGCCAGCAAAGAAGGAAATCATTTTGATGTACCACGAGGACTCTTTCACAAAAAACTGTCATTTTAACTCCAGACGTGCATTTAAGAGGTGTCTATCCATTTTCAGAATTTTAATACAAATGCTGTTTTTTTAGAAAACAACTTTGTGCGCTTTTATGTATTACATGAAACAGTCACCTTCACACAGGCTGGTAGTCCTGCTTTATGTCTTGATAGAAGTGAAGGGTGTGGGGAGGGCTTGATTTAGCCAAGGACAGTGTTAAAAAAAAAACAACAACCACAGGATTGCTATTTTAGCTAATATTTGATCATTTTTAATAGAGTTTTCCATCTGTGTTTAGGTCCTGACTCTCTCATGCCAGCATGTGAGTGGAACCTGGTGTTCAGTAGGAAGCTTTAGGAAGGTAGTGTGGCTTTCATGCAAAAGGCCTTTTTAGATCAGGCCCTTATTCCTCACTGGGAACAGCATGGTTTGTCGAGGTAAAATTCTAAAGGTCGATTATTTATAAAATCTAAGCTTTTAATCTTACTGCATTTTAACTCTTTGCAATGAAGCATCAGATCATTCTTTCCTGGTTTGCAGAAGGGTTGGGGTGGGAGCAGACCTGTACCTCTGTCATTTGGAAGATCTAGGGAGTTTGTTGACCTCCATTATCTTCCTCTCTTCACCCCTTCTTTAAAGATTAGCACACAAAACCTGCAACTGTTGTGGGGTTTTTTTTCTCCCCCTCCACCCCCATCCCAAGAAGGCTTGAAATTATCTTACCACATGAAAGCAAAAGTTGAGCAATGATGTGTAAAGGGGTTTTTAATCAGGCCAACTGAAAACTTAACTGCCATGATTCTTACTGTGAGTCTGAGTATTTAATCTCTTTTAAGTAGGAAAACTTTCTGATTCTGCACTGGAAGAACAGTGTTTATTATTAGTTTAATTCTGTGTGTTGAAGTCCCAGTGATTTCAGCTGAAATGATAAACTTGCATTTTACTTGAAAATCAGATATTTATTTTAGCAACATGCTGTAGGTACTGACAATTTGGAAAAGTTCATATGCTTAAGTATTAAATACCTGTCTTCTGAGCTCACTTGTACCCTTCAAAATTGTCCTGATACAATCAGCTGGGGAGACTGATACAGTTAAAAACGAAGAGGGCTGCAGAAGCCAACCCTAGTGATGGTCCCTCAGCTTCTGCTTGGGGCCTTCCCATAGCACAAATTGACCCAGCCCCCTTTTTATAATTGAAAACCAAAAACCTCTGTGCAGCTTATCTTCCAGAAAGCTCTAAGCATGAATTAGAAGCCAGCTCCTCAAGGGCTTCTGTGTTGGAAAGGCAGGGAAATAATGCTTATTAATAGTAGGGGTTTCTTTTAACAAAAATACTGAATTAAAAACTAAGAAAGCTTCACTGCTGCCATGTCTGCAGTTTAAAAAAACTTCATATATGAAGCTAAAAAAAAAAATGCCATAAATTACACCTCAGCTGTTGATATAGTTAAATTTTGCCTTAAATGCAATGGGATGATACAGTTTTTAGCACCCCACAGGCCTTGTTCTGGATCAGTTATTGACAGCAACTTGTTCCATGGAGTAAAAGCAGATGTTTGTCCTGTTCTCCCCAACAGAGAGTGGATTCTTCACGTTTCCTGGTGCCTCCTGTTTCCCTACTACCTGTGTTGTGACTGAGGAATGATGCAGAAATGGGTGTTTGTAGCACACAACATAAAGTCCAGTTTTTCTCAGCCTGACAGAGCAGCTGAAGGCAGCCTAGTAAGTTCTGGGTTATGCTGGGCTTTCTTGTAGATACACTCTAGTTCTTGCCAAAAAGGTGTGTTTGTTTAACAGTGAAGGATGTAAGAAACCATGGCATGGGTTTTTTTATTCAGAGTTTTGAATGTATTTAGGTGTTCAATGTTCTCTGTGATTTGGTGAGGACAGTACAAAAAAAAAGTAGATCTCAGTAGACTGATCTTCCAAATACTCTGAAGTGTTTTGGTGCTTGTTAAACATAGGCCTTGTCTATAATGTAGAAAAAAGTCATACTGCTTTAACTTGACTGAATAATGAAAGCTATATTAGCTTCTACACTTGAGGAAAATGTTGTATCAATATAAAGGTACTCTTCTATTCCTTTTCCCTGTGGGAATGTGTTATACCCTGACAATACAAAGGTGGTGTGTAGCTCTTTTTTGACAGTGAGAATTGCAATGAATTAATTGATTTGGAAGAAAAATTACCTTCCCAGCCAAAATGTTTTGTGACAGTGCAGAAGTTGTGTAAACAAGGCCTTAGTTTAAGGCTGGTCTTATGGCCACATATTTTGCTGTACATAATGATTGTATTTTTTAAAACCCAAGCTTGTTCTGTTGCAAGAAAGCCTGTCTCTGGATCCCCAGTCTGTGACTGTAACCGTGTCCTTGGCCTCGCTACCAATACAAGTGTGGTTCTTCCCAACATGATGCTCAGGCTTTGTTGATGCTTATGGTTCTTCGGGATGTTGAATTCTGTGGCTGTGGGATTCCTGATGGTTCTGCTTCTCTCACAAGAATGTATGGCAAGTTTTTGCAAAGGGCATTTTCAGTAAAGGGCAGCTGGCTCTTTATGGCTTCTCCAGTTGGATACTTATTGCGTGCAGGTGTTGTTAAGTATCACATTTCCTTGAGGAGTGACAAAATGCAGAAACCACCATATTCTTTAAGAATTTTGTATGAAAAGGAGTGGCATGAGTGTTCTGTTTAACCTTCTCCCATTCAGATGAATAGACAACTCCCACAACTGCAAATGGAAAATGTTTGGAGCCCTGCTGCTGCTAGAAACCCTCTCACTCCAGGTTTGTATGTCAGGCAGCCCAGACACTCTGCTTGACAGACCTTCACTGTGTGTTTGGGACCTATTATTTGGAGTGCCCATTTGTGTTCTGGTGAGATTTGAGACTTGCTGCAGAAGCAAATGTGTGTGTGAGCTCAGTTCAGATGGTTCTAAATGATGACCT